CATACAAATAAGACTTTATTAACTACATAAACACTTAAACTAGTCTAACATACTACATAAACACTTAAACTGGTCCATCATACACACACACACACACACACACACACACACACACACACACACACACACACACACACACTGTTGGTGAAGCTCATCACAAACTCACCATTCAAATATGTAAATGTACAAGCTAATAAGGAGCTAAATGCATATTGTTAACTATCAGAAGATGCCCTGTGCTGTTTGCAATCAGTTTCTTCTACTAATGCAAGTAAAACACTCTCATTGAGATGAAGCAAGGTTTTGCAGTGAAACCTCTTCATTATTACCGCGGTACAAACGCCGGCTGGCCTCTTGCTCACGAGCGGAAGTCAGATTTGGCTCGCGCTCGTCGCCCGCTGACCAATGCACACGCTTGCTATTTCCGTTCACGATAGCATCTCTGGCTCGGGCCAGGCCTTTATGAGCTCATTTCGGCTGCAAACGCACGCATTCAGCAGCGAGACGCCAGTCTGTGTAATATTTGTGTGATTAATTAAGAGTTCAGATCTCGTGCTCGCGCCACTTTCCTCTGCAGCTTTTGTTGGGAGAGCGAGATGGACGGAGAGACAGACACATCCATTATGTGTGTTTGGTATCTGTTCCCGATGAGCCGGTTCTTTGTTGAATACGGATTTCCATCACACTCACACACACGCTCTCTAGAAATCTGACAGATAAGTAATACCGCATGTCGCCCACGTTGGCAGGCGATTTGTAAATAAACGAGAAAATGGCCGTGTTTTTTTCTCCTCTTGTTACTCATCTGTCTGACATTGATCCAGAGAGAGAGACAGACTCAACTGAAAATCACATCAATTCATTCACACGCCAAAGCAGGAGGAGGGAAAGTCTCAGTGCACGTCTCTGGTGAACCTCGGGGTCGTTTGTGCTCCTCATCAACATTTATGCAAATCATCAATATCAGCTGCGGGCTTTGACTGTGTTAATGCTGAGACTGGGGTAAACATTACAGCTCAGTGTGTCCAACATCTCCTCACTGTGTTAGCAAATAAACGCATTTTAATAATAGATTATGCATTAGCTTTTCTCTGTGCTGTGAACACATGCATGATCATCTGATTCGAATGATTGTGGTGCTGCTCTGACCTCTGAATGAAACACATCTGTAAAAACCTCAGACAGTCCAGAATAAGCTGGAAATGACGCAATGCAGTCTATTATAAATGTTTAAGAGAAACGTGTCACGTGAAGGACATTAGAAACACACACACACACACACAGTGTCTTGTTTCTTCCTCAGTGGGAAAGCATCTGACAACTTCTGTGTAAAAGAGAACAGCATCCAGCGGTCAGAGCTCACCGTATGGCCTTCAACATCTGACTGACCCGATTAACAGTGACCAAGAGACACTTTAACTCTCAACCCTGTGAGTGTGTGTGTGTGTGTGAGAGAGAGAGAGAGAGAGAGAGAGAGAGAGAGTGTGTGTGTGTTTGATATTTTCAGTTCAAGCAGTTCTCATCTAATGAGCTGAGCTGCTCTCTACATCTGTTTTACTGTTCTATCCTTGTGAAATGAAGTACACTTAAGCATAGCTTCATAAAACGAGCATTTATTAGAAAATAATGGGTTTTAAAAGAATAGGCTTGTGTGTGAACTGAATGTAATGTTTTAGACAACTAATTAGACGTTAACTGCAATGAAATTGAATTGCAATGAAAATGTATTAGAATTTAAATTTATATTAAATGCAATCAGCTGAACTTTAGAGTGTTTTGACCCACTTAAGTCGGACTTAAGTACATCTTTACATGTAATTTCATAATTACTTCTCTTGTCTTTGTAAAAAAGTACTGCTGAATGTACTGATGAGCATTTATGACAAACTAAAATATACTTTAATGTAATTTCTATTGAAACGTGTGTCATGTTTTTCAATATATCTGTAAATTTAGTGCATTTAAAATCTGTTAACTTTAAATGTAATATTGAATAACACACTACAGTTAAAATGATACGTTCTTTACATGAGCTTTAGTCAACACATCAAAGTGCACTTCTTTAAAACATGAGAGAAAATTATTAAAACATAATTATTTAAAATATTCTTTAAAGCAAATCTTTCAATTTGACATTACAACAGTCACTTTTTAAAAGTGTGTTTAAGTGTGTTTTGAAACAGTCATGAAAGTGTCTCTCTTTAAGTCACTTAAGTTATTTCGCCAATATTATACA